ACACACTCACATTCTCCCTGTCACACACATCCTCACAATACTCACACTAACATACACACATTCACATCTTCCATTGTTACACATGCACATTCACACACTCACACCCTCCCTATCACACTTATTCACACCCTCCCTGTTACACCCATGCTCACAATACTCACACCCTCTAACACACACATTCACCCCTTCCCTTGTTACAAACACGCTCACACCCTCCTGTCACACACACTCGAAGTCTCCGCCCAGCAGGGCCACGCGTGTGACCCGGCTCCTTACACCGGGCTGTCTCCCCTCAGGGAGCCCTGGTCTGTGTCCTGTGCAGTATTTTCACTCTCCTCAGTCCTGGCGAGCATCTGCGGTGTGACCAGCCTTTTCCCGGAAACACCCGTGTCTGCCATCTGGGCCTGACCCACACCAGCCACTCAGCAGCTGGCCCCGCACAGGGCTCGGGAAGTGCCTGGGGGACCCCTGCCTGGTGCCTGTCCAGGGCCCGTCTTGGTTACTTTTCTTTTGTTGCTGAGACAAAATACCTGATGCCCAAAATTAAGGAAGGAAAGGTTTATTTGGCTCACAGTCTGTGGCGGTTTCAGTCCATAATCGGCTGGCTCCAAGGCAGGGTGGCATGGCAACCGGGCAACAGCTCAAGGCGGCAGAAGACTGCAAAAGCAGCAAGAGCACAAAGGGGGAGCAGCACCTCTTGCCTCCCTTACATTGTGTGCTGGCTACCCTGTCCACACCCTCACCGTCTCTGTGCCCTCCTCTTGCGCAGGCTCAGGACTGCTGAGTCACTTAGCCAAGCCTCTGGACTCCTCAAGTTGGCACAATGTATCAACCGCAGCAGAGGGAGCCCGGTAACTCAGGCAGAAGGGGACCCGCGAGCTTCTCAGCGGACTCTGGGCCTTGGGACTTGTGCAATAGGCAGGGGACCATGCTGAGCTCGGAAGGCGAAGGGCTTCATGTGTAGCTGGGCTCACACCTGCTGCCACGGGGACAGTCACCCCTCACAGCAAGTGCCCCCCCGCACCCCAGGCTACCCCCAGGAACTCAGCACCACAGCTCATCTCCTCTCAGACACATGAGGCCTAGGGGGGCACAGGGACGGGAGCACAGGCACCCCTCAAACTGCTGAAGACAGGGCAGTGAACAAGCAGACCTCCAGCAGCCCAGTGGGGCCACACCCTAATGCGCGCTCAGGGTCTCTGTGATCACTTTGTTCTTAGGTTCCTGCAGTGCGGCCCTCTGCCGCCCCTGTGCCACGGCTCTGAGAGTGGCCAAGCTCAGGCACAGGTGGTAATAGCTGCCAAGTCGTCAGGATGAGAGAAGTGTGACTGTAACGTGCCCCTTTCCCGCGGGTGCTTGAATGCTGCCTGGGCCTTGGACAAGGGCTGGGCTCTGATAATCCTCAGGGAACCAGAGGCAGGGGCTACCCCACTGTGGTGCACGCAGGAGACAGGTGAGTGTCGCGGGCAGTGTCGCTCCTCTCTGCGGGGACATGGGCCCAGCTCTGAGTGACCAGTGTGCAGACTTTCCGCGGCTGACCGGCTGCCTGCGTGGCGTGGTCTAGTGACTCAGTCACGTCTGGGCTTGAATGCCCACTCCACCATGGCATCCCCGGTGCCTTTATACATCAAACTCTTTTCACTGCCACCCACAGCAAGCGCTCAGAACCTAGTAGCACAGGTGGCAGAACTGAACAAACGCTTCCTGGCACCGTGCGCCTTCTGGTGGGAACGGGCCCATGCTGGACACCTTCCTTGCGCCATTCTGGACCCGAGCTCTTCCCTGCGCCCTGACCTGCTCTGCAGCCTGCACAGCTCCTGCATGGCTCCACAGAAGCTGCATGACCTTGGGCGGGTTACTTACCCTCCGGTGAAAACTGGAATCGTGATCACAGAACCCAGCTCCTAAAGAACTGCATGATTCTCGCACACACATTTCCTAGAGCGAGCCTGGCTGGCAGCCATTCTCTGATAAGTGTTGGCCAGCATGAGCATTATTTTGTCACAATAACAATAAAAGTGCCTTCCTTTGTATCAAGGTACTTCAGTGCCTGGCTCCGACTTCACAGGGAGAGCCACAGACGTGGGACAAGTGTCCACAGTTTGCTGCTACAAGATTAAAATGACTATTTTAGAAATCAAGCCAGCAGCTTGCTGGAGGCAATGTTTAAAATAAATTCAGATCGATGGGCCCTGCAGATCCTGGTTGTCCCAACCTTTGTGGTAGAAGACAGCGTGTTCCTGGTAGAGCGATTTCATCTCCAGTGGTGCTTTGATGAAGTTGACCCAGTGACACCCTTGAGAGAGAGGGGTCTCCTGGTAGTGACCCAGCACCTGGGCTCCTGCGGAAAATCCTGCTTCTTCCACATAAGCACAAAGCATGGCCCCTTCTCCTCCAGAGCCTGGGATTATTCCTGAGAGGTGGTGCCCAGGTTGACAGCCAAGTGAAGAAGTTCTCGGGGCTGCCTACTAGAAAAAAGGAAGGTCCAGGGCCAAGCCACTTGCAGGCTGTTTAGTTATGAAACATAGGAAAGTGAGTTCTAAACGTGAAAGGTCATTCCAAAGGTTTTCTGAGACGCTCTGGAAAGTGTTAACTAGTTGTCCTTACCTGAAATTTATTAATGCTCCAAGTCCAGGGCTATTTATTATTTCCTAGGCTCCTAGCAATTCCCAGCATTGCCAAGTCCTGGTTGCTGTGTAGATGTCCAGGGCAGACCAGGCAAAGGCCTCAAGCGCAGACTTTCACCTGGACCATCCACCCTGGAGCCCGTGCTGTGTAGCGCATTCAGCGCCCTTAAACCACTTACCCCCTGCTCACCTCACCCCAAAATGTGAGCCTTCTTTCCACCAGACCCAAACACATGCCTACTCTGACGTGGAAAGATGACCACTGCTGAGAGAAGCTGCCTCGCTTCTCTGTGGTAGAAGACAGCGTGTTCCTGGTAGAGCGATTTCATCTCCGGTGGTGCTTTGATGAAGCACCCGTGTGGTGCTTCATCCCGTGTGGGTGTAAAGCAGTGGTCACATGGGTTATGTCCCTGGCTCCCATGGACCCTCTCCACCTGTCACCTGTGAGGTCACCGGTCAGGGCCAGGAGGGCTTGATGTTACCGAGGCTACATTCCCATTTTTGCTCTGGAGATCTGGGCCAGGGCCCCAAGGGAAGGGGAAGACTGGTCCCCAGCCTCAACCTGCGACAGTCCAGCTAGGGACAGAGCTGGCGAGGCAGGGATTGTGGGTGGTGCCCTTATCAGAAGCCGGGCAGCACCTTGGGCCTCCCGGGGAGCCTGTGCGGTGTTGTGCCTGCGTCCCCACTGCCCTCCAGGGGAAGGAAGCCCTCTCTGTGGCATCCAGGCTGCTGGTACTGATGTCACAGAAGAGCTGGAAGGGGCAGGAGCACCCCTGGTGTGAGCCTCCAGCCCTGGTCACGATGGATGTGATGCGGTCAGGGGCAGAGACACCACCAGAGGCAGGAAGGTCCTTCAAAAGCAAGTATCTAGTTTTCATTAACTCTATTTTGAATAGACATTATTTAACTAGAAATTGGTATAATCCCATTTTTAATAATCACCTCACAAAATTCATGCCACTGCTAACAGCTGGCTCTGGGGCAGCCACAGCTCTCTTTTCCGGCCCGGGCGCTCCTTGGCCAGGGCTGGCCAGCGTTCCAGGGACAGACTGGGGACTCCAGGTGGCAATTCAAGGGGCCAGATGTGCGCAGAGGGCCTGTGTGGTGCCGTCTGGAGCAGACGCGGTTGGGCCAGTGTCACAGAGCCAAGCTTGTGGGAGCCGGGCCCTCACACCAGCCAGGAAACCAGGCAGAGGCCACGGGCTCCAGAGCGCACAGCCAAGGCCAAGCCAAGGCCCTTCTGAGGAGGCCGGGCCGGGACGAGCGAGGAGGGCTCGGAGAGCGCAGCAGTGCCGCCCTGAGAGCCTTAGTTCCACACAGGTGGTGGGGCTGCGCCAGCTCACAGAGCAGGGGGCCCAGACCGCGGCCGTTCCAGGTGCTGCAGGGCCGTCAGCCAGCTTCCCATCCCCCGGCACAGCACAAGGCCGAGGTGGCCAGCTGAGCGAGGACAAGGCTGCGCAGCTCACGCTTGGAGGTTCCGCCCATGCAGGCTCCCAGTGTGGGGCCCTCGTGGCACTAAGCTCCTCATTTTGTGGCCACAAAACAGAGAGCGGCGAGGCTGGGTCCCCTGGCCTGTGCAGGACTCGCCCCACATGAGGGAAGCCTCTCCTAGACCCCCACCTCCAGTGGGTCTGCCTGGGGACCCTGCTGTAGCTCAGGGGCTCGGCCTGAGGGTCACTGGCACGCACCATAGCGTACTCCAGATGCAGCGCCAAGACGGTGCCCGAGAGATTTCTCAGGCCCTATGACCTGCTGTGCCATGCGGGGGCTTCCGTGTGTCCGAACAGCAGGGGACAGACGCCACACGAGGGGAAGAGAGGCTGCGGGCAGGGCAGACAGTGCTCCCGGCAGGCTGCAGAGCTGAGGTGGACAGCACGTGGGTGGGGCGGCCCCAGCCCACTGTGTGGGAGGAGAGGTCAGCAGTGTCTGGGAGCCAGGCGTCCCCCCACCCCCAGCCCACTCCCCCTTCTCACACCCTGAGAGCTGGCCTTGCCACCCCCAGCCCAAACCTCCTGCCTGAGACTCATCGCGTGGGTGCTCCTTGCTCCACCCATGGGGGTGGCCGGTTCTTCCCCTGTAGCTGGGGCGCCAACTTGCTCCACTGCAAGGGGCTGCAGCAGGGGCTCTCTGAGGTCCTGCAGACACTTCCCAGGGGGACCGGCAAGACAAGAACTGTGGCTAACATGGGAGACGAGGCAACCTGGCCAGAGGGGACCCCGCCCTGCCCACACTGGTGACAGCACCCCTTCCCCGAGTGCCCACACCCTTCCTCAGTGCGCTGCCCTGTCCCCCAAGCCACAGTGTCCCCCACACCCTGGGAGTGGGAGCCCCCAAAGCCGCTGGTGTCCGGGGCGGCTGGATGCTTGCCGCAGATTCTCGGGCAGGGTGTTCTGGGCCACCATGCCCCTGAGCAGCCAGCTTGAGGGACGGCCACGCAGAAGCACCAGAATGGTGGCGAAGGCCAAATCTTGCTCTATCCAGAAAAGTTTCTGTGAATTCATCTTCCTCCCACCCCTGTGAGGCTCTGTTCACCAATACCGACGAGGAGAGAGGTCTGTTTTCAATTAGGACTTCTTTAAAAAGTGCATTTAAACGGCCTATAAAGTAACCCAAGCAAGGCCTTGGAGGTGCAAGCTGCTGCCACCGCATGTTGGCAAAATGCCACTCAGAACGCACCCAAAGGCCGGCAGGTAAGAGGTTGTGACACTAAAAAATTCTTTGTGAAGTGAGCTTCAGGATCGGTGTCTGGCTTCAGTGCGTCCTCAACCCGGGATCAGGCTGTGGGTCATGGTCTGGGCTGGGCCGCATCACCGGTCCGCCGACAGGAATCACACCACTCGTTTTGCCTGGAGTCAAAGGCGGCCCCGAAGGTGAGCTCCAAACACAGCACTCTGTGCTCCTACCTGGAGGACGGGGACTGAGGGCGCGGCAGCAGGGTGGCAGCAGGGTGGAGGGGCAGCAGGGAAGCCATGCATCCTTGCAGCTGCCGAGCCTGCAGTGTGCCTGTGGGGGCTCTGAGGGTCCAGGCAGCCGGGCAGAGCTGCGGAGGGTGGCAAAGTTCCAGCCGGAACCTGCTGGCCCACCTGTGACACAAAGAGGGAATCCGCGGACGCTCTGGGGCAGTGGTGCCATTTTTGCTTTCAGCACTGAGTCTCGTAGGGTAGGCCATGTTTTATTCACCACGGATATACGAAGGGTGACCAGAAATACAGTGAATGTTTATGTCCTTGAAGTTTATTACGGTAAAAGACACATTGCCAGGAACCCCTTGTCAAAATCCTCCGCTCACTCAGAACACACGCATGCCTCGTCCCGGCCACTTTCTGAAGCAGTGTGGGAGTCCTCTGTGTTCCTTACCACACCTCATAAAGACTCTCAGGAAAGAGGTCTCCAGAGCTGCTTCAGAAAGTGGCGGGGTTGGTGGGAATGTTCTGGTGTGAGGGAAGGAGGTGTTTTAAGGCTGCTGTGTACGGGGCTGCGCGAGGCGCTAAGGCTGTGAACAAACTCATGAGCTGATATCCCAACACAAGGGACACACAAGGACATTCACTCAGTCACACAACACTGACAGCTAGAAGCTCAAGGGAAAGGGGTGAGAGGGGTGGAGAGTGGCGGGCAGGAGAGGGAGCGGCTGCCCGCACACAGGGCTGCCTGGCAGTGATGGGCATTCCTGCAGCGGCCCAGACAGGAGGGAAGACAGGGCGCAGGGAACATTTCAGCAGATGCAGTAGCACAGGCAAAGCCCCTGCCGCGAGAAGAAACGTGGAAGACACCAGCCAGTGCGGCTGCTGGGGCAGGCGGGCAGGAGGGGAGGGAGGGGGCAGGGCCGCCCTGCAAGGAAAGCCCACAGCCCGGAGTGAGCAGCGCACGCGGCCCCGTCCATGTTTTTAAAACACCGCCCTGGCGATGTGCGTGGAGGCGGGAAGGGCGTGGCGGGGGAGAGACCGCGCAGGGGGCAGAGGTGACAGGGTCAGTGTGGCCGCTCAGAGAGCTCGGGCTCCGACCAGAGGGTCTGGCATGGCCGCCTCTCCCCGTGCTTAGTGGACATCTGTGCTGCAGACGGCAGCTGTGTGCGGCCACCCTCGTGGGACGGGGAGAAGCTCAAGCCCCTGACTCCTCCTGGCGAGCCCTCGAGGGCACGCGCATGGCTCACCTGGCCCACAGGCTCAAGTCGAAGCTTCCTAAGTCACATGGCGTGAATTTGCACCCTGTCCTTTCTGGCCTGAAAGCGCCCAGTGGGATTTGCCCTGATGCCAAGCGTCGCACGCACGCACAGGGAAAGGCCGCCGTGTGTTTCACCTGCCAGTCCCGAGTCTCACCTGGGTGTCACAGGGGCAGCACAGGATGCATCTCTCGGCCCGAGACCCCCTGCGCAGGCAAACACGTCCTCTCCCGCTGATCCAGGAAGGCGATACCAGGCGTGGCGCACACCTCCGAAAGGCAGTCCTCAGTGACGGTGCTGGCGGACCCGTCCTTGGTGCCAGGAGCAGATGCACAGAAACGAGAGAGTGGCCGGAGCACAGAGGAACCGCGCCGCGCTGCACGTGCACGGACAGGCAGTGTTCTGTCCACGCCCCCGGAAATCACGTGGGAAAGTCTAGCTGTTATTAACCGCGCTAGGCTTGAGGAAAACCCCGTCCGTCACCGAGGATCCCAGCTGGGCTCTGCTCAGCACAGTGTCAACATCACAGGGCCTGATTTAGGCCTGGCACAAGAGGATGCCGTAAATCCTGTCGCTCGGCGAGGCACGAGATGACGGCCTCCTCGGGTCCGGAAACGTCTGCACAGGGAAGACAGAAGGGGCCTCCAGAGACTGAAGCTCTGCCAGAGGAACTCCCAGCCTTGGATGCAGTGCTGCCCCCGAGCGTTCCTTGCTGTCTCCTGGGTTTGACTCCGGCCTTCCGGTCTCCTCACACATCTGTGGTGGCCGCTGCAGGGCTTACACTCAGGTGTCTGGGCCACGTCGGGTGACAGCACCGTCACCACCCCACACAGCCCGCCGGGGGCAGGGGTGCCCCCGCCCTCCGCTCTCACAGTCCACCCAGAGCAGCCGGCACCGCCCTGTGGGCCTCGCTGCAGACGTCGCCGTGCCCCAGGGCTGTGTGCGGAAACCTCACCACCCCAGCAGCAGAGCTGGGAGGCTGCGGCTCAAGAGCAGTGATGGTCACGAAGGCCCTGCCTCGCGGACGTCCACGTCGCCACCTGGGAGAGAGCTGCCGCGAACGAAGTGCAGCCCTCGCTGCCTCCTTCCGTCTCTGCCTTCCTCACGGGAAGATCCCAAGGAGGCCCTGGTGCCACCAGAGTCCGGGACAGACAATCTGTTCATCACACACGACGCGCTCTGGTTTCTGTTACAGCAGAAAGCAGGCTGACATATCACTGCATGGTGTTCTCTCAGCACTGCCACGATCCCGCTAACATGTCACCCGAGCTGGGCGTGGCAGAGCATGCCTGTAAGCTCAGCACACTGGAAGGCTGAGGCAGGAGGGTGCAAGTTCAAGGCCAACCTGAGCAATTTAGTGACTTGGTGAAGATTTTGTCTCAAAATAAAAACTAAGAAAGATGCAGCTCCACGTGAAGGCCTTGGGCTTGATCCCCAACACGGAGAAAAGAGAGAAAGTCATCCGCCCTCAGTTCCTGGGCGTGCTCAGTCTCAACACAAGCACAGGCCAAGTCCTCCCACCAGCCCACAGCACCACACCGTGGCCTTGCCCACAGGGCTCAGAGCCGGGCCGCTCCTTCTTTGCAGCTTCCAGAGTCTCAGTCAGTCCTCATTCTCACCAAGGGGACTGACCGCCCCCGCCCCCGTCCCCGCCCCGCAGTGGTGAGGACAACAGATCCTGACAGGTCTCCTCCTCGTCCACCTCTGTCTTTGCTGACAGGGCAAGCGGAGAGGTTCAGCCCCAGGCTGACCTCTGGGAAGTGCCCCGGGCGGATCTCGGGCGTTCCCCAGCCACCCAAGCTTGAGAGTCTTGGCCTCCTTACCCGGGGAGTGGCCTGGCCGTGACAGCGCCCTCTAGCAGGGCTGGGGGGACGAGGGGGACGTGGGAGCCACGCTTGGGACATCCATGCAGTGGTGCACGTCCCTTGCCGATGCCATGACGGCCGGTCTGCTCGGGACTCAGCGGTCTGGAGGTGGGCAGGAGAGCTGGGTGATGGGGTCACACTCGATCTCATTTCCCCCGAGCCCCAGGGCCTGGGTGATACCCACACCACACTTGCCACCTGTAAGAAGGGGGATGCCAGCCTTTGCTTCCGGGGCCACGATAAGCAAGGCACAGGGACAGTGGCTGGGGCCAGGAACCGCTCCGGCCCAGTGGGATGACTCCTGCTCCTTAGCGTTGGGAGCTGGAGCTCTGGGCTCCCCAGGCCTTCTGTGGGGGCTCCCGGGCACCTCCAGAGTCACTCTGCCAAGCCCATGCTTCCTCCTGCAGCCTTGGCCCCCAGAACCCCAGGCTCGGCCCGTGCCGCCCGCCGAGAGTCCCCAGAGCTGCAGCCTCTCGGAGGAGGGGAAGGGCAGAGCGGAAGGAGCTGACGGGCTGCCGCGCTGCTCGGCATCTATTTCCCCTCAAGTTGCTGACTTCAGCTTTCCAGAGAAAGCGCTGGCCAGGGTCGGAGACGGCAGCAGCGCACACTGCACGGCCGTAAATCTGCAGGGCCTGTTATTTAAGAGGCCCGACTTTCCCGAGTTGCGATATTAAAGCAAATCTGCCCACTGCCGTAAATCAGCCGGCTGCCCCCGCCGGCCACGCGGCTGCGCTGGCTGAGATGCCCAGCACACGGCCCACGCCGGAGGACGGGAGGAGGCATGCGCTTGCCTCCTCCTGGGAGAGCCCTGCACACCTGGCCCTGCCCGCGGGAGCACCCAGCCCTGAGACTGCACAGGGCCTGGCCCCGCGCCGAGGCTGCTCGTGAGTCTGGGACCACACGGGGCAGCGTGACGAGCCGCCCCGAGCTGGCCAGGCTCCTTCTCCTCAGCACAGGGCTCTGAATCAGGCCCCCCTGGGGGGAAGCGGAGACCCACAGGCCCCCGGGAGGCCCCAAACAGAGGGCTGAGCTCGAAGCACCATCTGAGCACTGCTGAGCGTCTGCTTCCAGCACATCGGCGAAGTCTGCCGCCACAGCTACCCTTCCTGTGGCCTCCGGTCCCCAAGAAGGAACCCTGTGTTCCCAGCACAGCACAGGCGAGCCCTCTGGTGCTGGCCCGGCCTTCAGCCTGCGCCGTCCCTGTCCCTGCCGCACCCTTGCAGGGTCTCTGCTGCCCGGCGGCTCGGCCTCCCCAGGAAGACCCGGGCCTTGCACCCTCTCCTGCTCACCCTCCACTCTCTCCCTTCCCACCACCCGCTGCAACCTTTGGCCAGGACCTCCTCCGAGGCAGGCTGAAGCGAGGGTGCTCAGCAAATGCCCTTGGACTCCAGGTGCTCAGCAAATGCCCTTGGACTCCCCTCTGGACAAGGGAGACACAAAAGCCCAGTCAGCCAGAACATCAGCTCCGGGCTAGGACCACGCCCAACCCCCCACCAGGTCGCCTGAGCTGTGCTCACAGGGCCAAGGTGCTCCCAGCTCCGTGCCACCCGCGGTCAGCAGCCCCACTCTTCTTGGGAAGGAGCCTGTGGGTCGCCTTAGGAGACTGGGGCGCTGTGGCTCGGTCAGAGGGCTGGCGTGACCAAGGGCTGGGAGCAGAGGGCAGGGTGTCTGTGCTGCGCATTATAAAGAGCAAAGGCCTTGAAGGGTACTACAGATTTTAGGAAAGATTCCAAAGTGTTACTTTAAGTACTCTCGGCTCAAAGTGATTTTGTTTCCAACACTTGCTGGCAGAAAAAAATATTAGCCCTGAATTTCAATGAGGAGAGATACACAGGCTGCACTGGGTCAAATCCATTTACGTAAGTTATTTTCTAAAATGAGTGTAATTTGAAAATCACCAGTATGATTTCCTCCCGGTGCGGGTTAATGCCTCATCCACGGCCACAGGAGGGGACCCGGTGTGCAGAGTTGCTGGCTTTTTATTTAGAATGGACCGTGCGGGTGATTTGTGGGTGGAAGAAACCTGAATAATTTAAAGTAGTCTCTATGTGCTGAGAGCTGCAGGTTTTTTTAAAAGTACATTTTAAATCTTGAAACTCTCAGAGATTAAGAGAGGTTGCCGGGGATTTATTTGTGGCGGGAGTTTTCCTTTCGTGTCCCCATCTCCCGGCACCGTTCCTGCTGGGGCCGCGTCCAGGGTGCTGGAAGAGGCCGCGAGTGCCTCCTCCTCTCTAGGGCCAGATCTTCTGCTTCTTTGTGGCCGAACTCTGTATGCAAAGAATGTTGGGCTCCACACAGCAGGATGGGGACAGCTGCCTTTCAGAGTCCAGGGTAGGGGGTGCTTCTGAGGTCACTCAGCAAGCACCAGGCGGAGCCGGGCCAGAGCAGCACTCCAGACCCTGCTCCTGCTCACCCGAGAGCTCTGGCCCTGGCCCGGCCCCGTGCCCTGACCTAGCCTCGGTCTCGGCCATCTTTCAAGCAATGGGAAAGGCAGAGCCCAAGAGCCGACTGCCAGTGGCACCTCCTCAGACAGAGGCAAGGCTGCACCCTCCTTGCTAGGCAGGACACGTCCCTCTGCGTCCCCTCCAGGAGCGATGACAGGCCCAGGAGTGCAGACTCAGCAAAGGCAGGAGCGGGCGCGGGTGCGGGCGGCCTCAGTCCCACGCCTCACTGCAGTCCAGGCTGGCTCCCCGGCCGGTGCGGGCCCCACCCAGCGCCTCGTGCTCTTCGCAGTTCCTGGCTGTCTCTGTGGGGTTTGATTTCTAAAGACGGGGGAGGTTCGTCCAGTTGCCACACTGGTGGATTCAGGCTGGCGTCCAGGAAGGGCTGGAGAGAGCTCAGCTCCGTTTGCTGTTGTGTCCTCAGCAGTAGCAGCACACGCGGGGGACAGGAAGGATGCTGAGCTCCATGTGTTAAATTCACAGCAACGTTGCAGAAACAAGATTTTTTCAAGCAAATCCCTCCCTGCCCCACAGCTGGGAGCCACCAACAAGCCGAGACCCCTTGAGGTGGCTTTCTGGGGGATCAGGACAGCAGGAAGCTCATACCTCTACAGGTGACAGGGACCTGACACACAGGCAGAGGGTCTTGAGGGGATTCTAGTGAGCTAGAGCTCAGCACCGCAGACTTGAGTGCAGCTCCGCTGTCCCGAGGGTTGGGTGCTTCTGGCCCCCAGAGCTGCAGTTGCGTGGACTCTGCTCTACTGAACGGGTGGAGGGGCATAGCTGAGCCAGCCTGGATCTTTCTCCAGAGAGAACACCAGAGAATCAGATTTTCCAGGCCTGCCAGGCTGCTCGGAGCTCACTGCCAAGAGATAAGACGTAGTCACGGTCATTCATTCACACTGGAGACATTGCTGACTCTGCCTACAGGTCAGACGCTCGCTGCACCTCTCCTTCCTCCTCCTGAGTGCCTTGTGCTGGCCTGGCTTTGGCAGTTACCAGAAATCCCCCTCAAGCTTGCACGCCCTTACTCTCAAGAGCAAAGCGCAACTGGTGAAGTCCAGAGGCCAGAGGGAAAAGGAGGACTGCTTCCCCTCACAGTGAAACGCAAAGGCAGCTCGGGAACAGTCAGCTTTCTTGCCACTGCTGACGCCCGAGGACAGCAGGGATGACACACACCGGCTCCGCTCCAGGTGGTCTAGACAGGGCCCCCACCAAAGACCGGGAGGAACCAGAGGGTCTGCACACCTCCCCGCGTGAGGAAACGGAGAACGGGCCCCCTGCCACCTCCAGGACCTCAGAGAGAGGCTTCCTCCGGGAGGAGACGAGGTGGGGTGGGAGGGGCAGCCAGGGGCAGCAGACCCAGCCTCAGCCCTGGAGTCATGCACCCCACATCCCGCTTTGCCTCCCCTCTAGCCAGTCACCTGTGCCAGAGACAGGCAGGCTGGGCTGGTCAGAGGGAGATGCCGTGGTCTGCTCTGCTCTGCTCTGGTTTGCAGCGACAACTTTTCTTCAAGCCAAACCTGCCAGAAGAGATCCGGGGCTGGGCTGTGGCCCTGTGGGGACCACCTGTTAGCAGGCGTGAGGCCTGGGCCCAACTTCCAGCATCACCACAAGCAGACCAGAGACTGGAGCAGGATTGGCTGGAGCCGGGTGGCGGCAGCGCGGCCCTGGGTTCCCAGGGACGGCTCCACCAGGCGGGCTCGGAAGGAAGACGGCCAGTTCCAGGGGCACGGTGCGCCTCCTCCAGGCAGCCTGCCTGCAGCCCCCCGCCTTTCCTTGTGCCCCTGCTGGTGGCACCAGGAGCCGGGAGCAGGATGCTGGAGAAGGGGAGGGAGGCAGCACCCGCTGCCCTGTGGACGCTGGAGCCCGTTGCGAACTGGGCAGAGGCGGCCAAGGGAGGCTGAGTGTAGAGCCCGGGTCTCCCACCTGCTCCGGGCAGTGCAGCCCCGGGCAGCGCAGTGCCTGTGCCTCCGCGTGCGCTGAGGAACCCACAGGTGTGTGCTGTTGACTTGTGTGAGCCAGAGGCACCTTGGGAACTACAGCTGGTGCATCACCTCAGCACTGGGCCTTCACACTGAGCCTTTTCACTTCTTGTTTTGAGACAGGGTCTCACCCAGCTAACTTTAAACTTGTGATCCTCCTGCCTCAGCCTCCCAGCACACTGGGGACAATGACCTGGCACCCCCATACCTGATGACTAGGTCCTTTTCAAATGTGCCATCTCCCCAAAGGGCTATAGATCCAGCCCTACCTTTTGGCCCAGTGCAGGGGCCCAAGCCCAGGGCCTCCATCCCACTGGTCAGGGGCTCTACCACCCTCACCCCCAGCGGTCTCCACTTCTGCTCCCCAGGATTGCACTGCTGCCTCAGTGATTCGGCAAATCGTGGAGCTGAATTTCAATTCTTCCATCAGTTCAAATATTTTAGAACTATTTTAAAGCAATTTTTAATTAAATTCAGTATTTATTGATAATTTTTAAAATACAGAGCTTTACAAGCTATAAACAAATACCACCTTTTCAAAAATTTCAGCAAGAAAGATCCTGAAAGGTGTAACATTAAAAATTCAGGGAAAAGGCCAGGCATGGTAGTGCACGTCTGTGGTCCTGGCACTTAGGAGGCTGAGGCAGGAGGATGGGCCAGCCTGAGCTACATAGCAAGACCTTGTCTCAAATAAACAAAAACAAAATTCAGAAATAAGACAGCGATACGTGTTATAAGTACTAGTCAACATTTTCCTGGAAGTTCTGATCTGCAAAATAACATTTAAAAAAGAAACAATTGGTTAAAGCACTGAACAGAAAGGAAAAACTTCCTATTAGACGATATGAATGTCGACATAATACTTTATTACTGCTATAAGAGAAAATGGCAGGGTTCTGAGAATGTCCAAAGGCGAGGCGCCTGGTGGCTGGAACACAGCGCAAGAGTAGCCGAGTGGCACCCAGAGCTCGTGGGGGCAGCCGAGACCTGCGCCTCAGCCAAGCCTCTGCCACCCCTCCCCCAGATGCCAGCCACAACAAGAAATGACAGTGCCAGCCCTCGAGGCAGACTGGCCACCCGGGAAAGCCCAGCCAGGGAGGCCGCGCCAGGGTCTGAGCAGCAGGCGCAGCAGGCGCAGAGGGCTCAGCAGGCGGTGCCCCGGGGCTCCAGCGGGGTTGGTTGATGTACGCATGATGGAAGGAACCTCAGTAGTTCTAGAGCGAACTGGACGCTCGCAGCTCTCGTCCGGGCTGGACCGGACCTCGCAGGCCCCCAGACCCTGGCCTGAGCCCTCTGCTCTCCCTGCCGGCCGACCTCCCCTCCACTTGTGAGTCCCCTGCGAGGAGCATCTTTTCACTTCTCCGACAGCAGCTAAGCTTAGCACGGTTCTCCCTCCGTCAAAACCCACCGTTCCGAAGGCCGCGTCCTTGCCCAACTTCTCTGAGGCTAGTAGGGCGAGTCTGTGACCTCTGCCCGGGAAGCGTCTGTTTCCTGTTGGAGGCCTCCTCCTTCCATTTGTACCATGGCAGTCAGGTCTCGGGTTTAGCCGGTAAAGCTGGAGTTCAGTTCCTGGGGCTCAGTCTGTCTTCACCCAGTTTTGCGAGTGCTGGCTCACAGGCCAAAGCTGTCAGGACTGACTTGACCCAACTG